TTAGAGCTCGAGGCTTTTTTTTTTTTGCTCGGCCAATACAATATACCCACCCACACACCAGCACAACACCAATAGGATAATTAGGACCTATATTATATTACTCCCTATTTTACTAGTAACAAAGCATATAGAAAAAAAAAAAATAAAAATCAACATGGCTTCATTCTTGATTCTACTGTTTTATCTCTAGAGTTGCCCATTACACTTTTTCTCTAGAGTTGGCCAAATGAGTGAGCAAGGTAAGTCAGTGTTCCAACTAGTGGAGCGTTAATGTATGTCGCGGGTTCAGATTGCTCATAATCTGAACGCTCGTCTGGGAAACGATCATGCTCATCCGGACCACCAACCACAGCCCCAACCAGTACGTTCGGGTTTGGTGCTTGTGAACTCATCACACTGAATCCGGACCTGCATTCTATTTTTGATGGATGGTTCAAGACCGAGGGCAATGAAGATCCCCTGTGATGAATCCTCTGTGGATACCTAGCTCCATATCCCACCATGAATGACATTTTCAATGGATTGTCTCCTAACAAGTAGTCCACCTGCACGCACGGGTTTAATTTTAAGCACTGAGGGTCTACTACATACTTAAAATGTTACAAAATTGATTTTAGCAAACCTGCTTTTTGGCTATGTTTCGTAGCCTCTTTGGTGTCACAACAACTCCACCACATTTAACTACCATGCGAGCGGAAGTTAAGTACTTGGCGTAGGTGACTAGCAGGAAAGAGGTGGAGGTCACATACTGCATATTGCTGTCATCCATCTTGAAGAGTAACCCTCCTGTAAAATTGAAAGTTTTTTTAATCCACAGCCTTGAACTGGAAACTAAGAGAAATGTGAAAATGAACTAGGAAATTAACCTGGTGTATATTGAGCCTGAGAAAATGGTGTGCCTGGAATTAGGGAGCAAATGTAGTTGTCCGCGTGACTCTTATAATCATGAAGAGATTGAAGCTTTTGAACAAGAAATGCCTGGAAAGAGAAAGAAAATAATCCCATTAAATTTATAGTATTAGCCAACTAACAAGTAAGTAGCTAAAAATGCACAGGTAAAGATTGAACCTTGGAAAGAAGAATCCTTGCTCCAACATGCTTATTGTCCCACCCGAATGTGTTATCAGTCTCTGCAGCACCAAGAATTTGCCCATTCCTTTGGATATAATTGAGATAAGATGGGTTCTTTGTGGCTCTATGTAACCAAGCAGCACCCCACAACAGCTCATCCTATACATTTATCACTCAAAATCAGTGCATCAGCTAAGAACAGATATTATCTTTCACCTTAAAATGTTGAGAATATATCACGCTAAACTGCACTAGATAGCTGATTTTCTTTTACCTCATATCCAGAAACTGAGCAATAATAGGGGCACACTACTTTTCTCAACCCATTGCTGTATGAACCTCTGTACTTATCCGCAAATTCAAACACCTAAAAACCAACACAAACAAAAAACCCTTAGTTTTCTTGATCTATATACAACAACTGATAGTGTTTCTGAGAAATACCCTGATGGCCCTTTTGACTAGTAGTTTGGAGTAAGAAGGGTTGCATTTTCTATAGACCAAAGATGCAGCAGCCAGAGCAGCAGCAGTTTCAGCAGCAACCTCAGTCCCTGGAGTGTTTTTGTCAATCTTGAAAACACTTCTTGGGGTGTCCATATCCTCAGGTCTCTCCCAACAAGAGTGGTCCTTTCCTGCATCCCCCACCTACAACAGTATTGTATATAAAAGTTAAAAGACTTGCTTCAAGACAAAAATTAAGTATTAGATATTCCACTCTTGAGATCAGAATTGAACCTGAACGTAAATGGTGTCCGGATGAGCAGTGGCCTTGAGAAGATACTCTGTAGCCCAACCAATGGCTTCTTTAGCATTCTGTAGCTCTCCTTTCATCAATCCACCAAACTCAAGCACACTCCATGACAGCATTGTGGTGGTGAATGCCATTGGGAAACCAAACTTCACATTGTCTCCAGCATCGTAATATCCACCAACCAAATCAACCTGCATTGCCCCAAAATCAACAAACACAAATTGACCCCAAAACAAGTTCAAGATTCTTCTTTTACAACGAAACATGTCCGGCATTGTATTCACCCCAAAATCAGCAAAAACAAGTTCTAGATTCTTTCTTTACAACTAAACATGCCAAAGGAGGACCTGCATTGCCATTATTCACCCCAAAATCAACAAAAACAAGTTCGAGACTCTTCATTTACCAAAAAACATGTCAAAAGAGGACCTGCACTGCCACTATTCACCCCAAAAAATCAACAATAACAAGTTCAATATTCTTTCTTTACAACTAAACATGTCAAAAGAGGACCTGCATTGCTATTATCCACCCCAAAATCAACAAAACCAGCTCAAGATTCTTCCTTTACTACTACTAAACATGTCAAAAGAGGACCTGCACTGCCACAATTCATCCCAAAAAATCACCAAATACAGCTTGAACATTCTTCCTTTACGACTAAACATATCTGAAGAGGACGTGCATGCCATTATTCACCCCAAAATTACTAAACATGTCTAAAGTAAAATTGCATTGCCACTATTCACCCCAAAATCAACAAAAACAAAGTCAAGACTCTCCCTTTACAACTAAACATCACCCCAAAAAATTAACAAAAACAAGTTGAAGATTCTTCCGGTACAACTAAATATGTAAAAGGAGACCTGCATTGGCATTATTCACCCCAATATCAACAGAAAAAGTACAAGATTCTCCCTTAACAACTAAACATGTTAAAAAGACAAAAAAGTTTGAAAAAAAAAACATACACCCATGGCTTTGCCATCTGAAAGGCCAGAATCTTTGCGCCAAGTGATCCTCTGGTTAGAAGGGAGCTTGCCTGACCTCTGACCCTCAAAATAAATAATGGATTTGGCGAGAGCATCTCTATAGTTATGAGAAGCAAAGCGAGGATGGTGGGCGTGGTGTTGAGGGTTGGCAAGAAACAGAGGGGTAGTTAAGCATAGCAGAAAAAAGAAAGTGGCTATGGCAAATGTGGAAGAAGAAGCCATTTTGGAAACTGAAAACCCCAGCCCCCTTAAACCAACCAACAAACCTTTGCTAAACGACTAAACTGCTAAGTGGCAGAGAAACAAGAAACCCCTCTCTTTATTTATAAAGCAAAACATACCTCTTTAACGTCCTGCCTGCTTGCAATCATTAAGCCCCATTAGCAGTTTGTGACTTTTTTTTGGCTTCATTTAATTAATTTAGTCTAGTATTACTCTCTCTTGCCCAATATTTGATGTAATCTTTTTTGCTCTTTAGGAGTCCATTTTACTGAACTTCTAATGTAAAATGTGTTTTATATTCAAAGATTACATAAAATAGTATATACCATGTTAAAAGGATAGTAAAGAACACTAAAATGGGTTGTTTGCATCAAGAACAAGTGACATATACTACTAATTACTTAAATCATGCGTATTTTTATTTTGGTAGATATAATAGAAATTTTTTCGTGGTACATAGGTAGTGGCGAAACAGAAAATTCAATAAGTGTGTTCAAAATTTAAACATCCTTTGTTATTGGGCTATGCAAGAGTGTTGAAAGTTTATTTTTTGATTAATAACAAGTACTTTAATATTTTACCCTATATACACTATAATTTATCGGTGAAGGGTGTGGAAAAATTCAAAAATAGCCAGATTTACAACTGGTCGTTCAAAAATAGCCCAATTTTAAAAGTAATCGAAATTTAGCCACTTTTTATGAAAAGATAAATCTGAGCGAAAACACTGTTCAAAAACCGGAAAATACTCCAGTATATTATGCTGGAGTTCCAGCATAAGTATACTTGAACTCCATCATATTATACTGGAGTTCCAGGATAAGTATGCTGATGGAGTTCCAGCATAAGTACACTAGAACTCCAGTATAATATACTGGAGTTCCAGCAAGTATAATGGTCCAGTATAATATACTGGAGTTTGGAGCACCGGCGCTCCAGTCTCCAGTATATTATACTGGAGCCAGCAAAGTATACCGGTCCAGCATAATATGCTGGAGTTCATACACAAGTGCACCGAACTCCAGTATATTATGCTGGACCGGTCTCTATTGCAGCAAAATAGTGGCTATTTTTCATTGACTTGGTAAACGCCGGCTATTTTTGATTGACCAATCCGAAAACTGGCTATACCGTGCTATTTGGCCACACATAGCTTCGCCCCTGTACACAAGAGAGAAAATTAATCGTGTCAATAATGCGTTTTCCATGAAATGTTTTTCAACAATTAACACTTTTCAGTTTAACTCCTCATAAACACCCTACAGACAGAAATACTGTACCTTCCTTTTAACCCTCACTTAAATTTCTGTTAGCTTTACATGATTATTTAAAGTAACGAATAAGAATTAGCTTTCCTTTTTTTTTTTTTTTTTTTTTTTACTGTGGGGAACCCTTTATTGTCTGTGAAAAGCTTTTTGACTGCTAAAATTTGCCAGTTCGATATCACGCAAGTCGGCATGGTATTGTCAATACTACTATTCGTTATAGTGAGACGTTGGGTTAGCATTAGTGGCGAGAGTGACTTGTCACATGTTTCTCCTTTCTTTCCCCTTTTCTTCAAAGAGAAAATCCTTAAGATGGACAGGCATAACGAGATAAAGCAACACTCATGCAATACAATGAAGTTCAAAGTTGTAAGGGTGATCTACAAAGTCATTTTATAAAGGCATAATACATAGTTTACCCATCCACCTTGTACCCAAATCCCTGGTATGTAAGCATAAATTTAATTCATATCAGGATCTTGAACATGATAATCTTACATATAATCGTCATAAAGAAAACATACCTAAAGCGGAATCCATTATGTTGAAGCGGAAGCTTTAATCGGTAAATTGGTTTCTCGCCCCTTGCCCTAACTTTACGTTACCGCCGCCTTTAGTGATGGAAGAAAGAAATTATGGTAGCCCTAATGAGTGGGGAGAGGACCAATTTATAGACGTTATTATTTAATCTGGTACGTCCATCAAGTAACCGATAGGACGGATGAGATTTGCTCATTAATTAAATATTAATTATGGGCCTAATCTTATTGGGCCATATATACACGTAGGAAACAACTTACATGTTACACACCTGTTGACCACGGGTTTAATGTTACACACCAAGCCTTTCAAAAGTGTGTCAATGACACACCATTTTTGACCCATGATAGGCGCGCGTTTTACACCAAAAGCAGACGAGTGAATAGTAAAAAAATGTATCTGAAGCCTCATTTTATCGCCACATATCGAGTTTTTTTTTCTTTCAGTTTTTTCTATCATCATCTTCATTGTCAGGAACATAAAGAAAGAAGCAACGACAATGGTTAAGAAATTACCTGAAAAGAAACCCAAAAAAAAAGACGGAGAAGAAATCGAAGAAAACAGCAATGGTTACGAAACCCCTTATCTCGATTTCTTGACTCGCAAAGCCAAATCATCCTGAATCGGGTTGGTGAAAATTGATTCAAAATCAACCTAACAAAATTACCGATTCTAGGTGAAATAGTAAATTTTTAGTAATTGTCGGCCTAGTTTTCTCGATCGTCGGAGGAGTTCACATCCCTGGGATTAAAAGAAGTTAGAATCGAAATCCATCATCAAAGCTTGTATGAATGGTTATTTTTTTTTCCAGTGCAATTTTGGATCTAGTTGTATCTTTTGTAGTCTTTTTCTGATCAATCTTTGGTCAAGCTTTCACTGTTCTTGTCCCTGCTCCAACGATGAACATAAGTTTTATGACACCGGTGGATCTGAAAATTATTGGGAAGATAATAGGCATGGAGGGTGGGTTGGAAGAAGTCGGCGTGCAAGTGATAGTGGAGGAGGAGCTAGCACGAAGGTAGGATTGGGGAAGAGGATAAACTCAGGGGGTGGGGGTGTTGAGTAAGACACATAGCTACTTTTTTATTTTTTATTTTTAAAGCTTATTGAGGTTTATTTTAAGCTTGGGTCGGGTTGCGCATTTTTAATTAAAAAAATTATTTTTTTTAATTTAAATAATCACGTGCATACACAACGTTGAGTATTAATTAGGCTGGTCAAAAATGGTGTGTCATTGATACACTTTTGAAAGGTTTGATGTGTAACGTTAAACCCATGATCGACAGGTGTGTAACAGGGATTTGGGTACAAGGTGAATGGGTAAACTATGTATTTTGCCTTTTTATAAATGAGCAAAGACAAGCTCAAAACATAGAAAATGAAAACTTTACGGAAGTTCTTCCAATTAGTTGTATACCTATCAGGCTATCACTAACGATACCTTATGTTTAGTGAGGTTCGTTGATGCCATACTTCACCTTTAATAAAATTATTGTATTTCAAAAAACGCCATCTCTTAAATTTAATTTTGGAGTTCAAAATTTGAACGTTCAATATAAAATCCTAAAATAATGTACTAGGTAATCTAATACTCTATAATACATTATGTATGTTCTTATATACTCAACGTTTGACCAAAAGACGTTAAAACGTTTTTGATTAAATCAATTAATGATGATGAAAGGGTAGATCTTAGTCAAGCATAATCAACTTCAGATCTAAAGATGGATAATAATACAAAGAACGACCATCAATATGTATTGATTATGAAATACCTCATCTTTGGTGAGGTATAGAGAGAAATCGGTTTACATTCTTCAGAGGAGAGAATTCTTCTAGAAAGAGTAGCCAAAAAAGCCCCCTCCCCCCTCCACCCCCCCCCCCCCAAAAAAAAAAAAGAAAGAAGACCCCCCTCTATATATAGTTCTGGGATCCTTGCTGCGTTTTTTGTTCGATGTACCCTCATGCAACGACCTTTTCCGTCGTTGTTTGAATATTGTTTCTAACTTGACGTACACTGTAGATGCTTGGACTGAAGTAGGTCGTGGTGCTTCTCGTTATCTCGCTACTTGGGCAGGACCCCAATTGGGTCGACTATTGTGATCAGATTTTGACCTATACAGTTAGTCCCTCCATCCGTCGGGGTCATCCCTTAGTGGGCCGGTGGGCGGACTATAATTTCGAACATTTGGGAGAAATCTGACTGTTCACGCATCGGGTGAAGGTTTTTAGATGGAGGCAATGGAGCGACGCTTCAACGATGCCTTTAGACCATCGCAACCGTTCGCTATCGAAGCGTTGTTTGATTCGAAACGTTGTTTGTAGTCACTGCCATTATGACACACGTTTCCTAGGGATTGAACCGTTTCATGCCCTATCAGTTTTGAATGGCGACTCTTGGGTTTCCCGCTTGGAGCATTTATGTCCCTATAAATAGGAGAAAACGCCATTCGATTGGCACACTCTTCTCCGATACTTCAGATTTTTCATTCTCTCCGGTTGGCTAGAAATTGACATCTCAATCTCTTCTTTTCTTCTTAGTTCCTTCGTTCTTTCAAATCGAGATAAATGGCTGGTAGTTCTTCCCGTGCTGGCTATCCTTCCGCAACTCTGGCGCCGTAAATGATGTTATTGCTCCCGGAGGAGTATAAGTGATAGAGGATGAGGGGGTTCCTACGGCGGCCGAAATATTGCCTCGTCTTGGAAAGCCGTGGAACGAATTCCACAGTCCTACCGGAGAAGAGCTAGAACCTGCTTCTTCAGTTATGACTGAGGTGGGGATTGCAGAGCTGAAGGCCATATGGGGGATCCCTCACCACGTTGAAATGTCGCCGGCGGTGGGTGATGACATTATACATTTTTATCGCCCAGGACATTGTGCGTTCTATGCTTATCCCTTTATCGTCGGGTATACGCTTCCTCTCCCTCCTTTGGTGGTAGATTTTTTCCGTTTCTACAAGGTGTGTCCGGCTCAACTTTCGCCGTACTTGTATAAACTGTTCCTTATGCTGCTCAAGTTCGCGGAGCTTGCCGCTCGGGAGATCACTTTGAGACACATGCTCAATATCTTTGCTCTTCAACTCATTTGTGGCACGATGATCCACATGCGCCATCGAGGGACAAATATTCTGGTGGTAAAGATGGACGACAGAGCCAACCGTCATTTCTATGAAAACTATTTTTATATGCGGACCGAGCACCTTGTGGCGGATTCTACAGGGTTCCCCGAGAGATGGAACTTCGCTCGTAAGTTTTTATATCTTCTATCGGGATTATAGCGACCGCTTTTCT